CTGACTCCAGCATCTGCAGTTCTTGCCATCTCTGACTGAGTAATAATCCCTAAAGTGCCATTTATTTTGCCAGCACCTCCCAAACTGAAGCTTCCGAGAAGGACAAAGACCTGGGAACACTACCAGCTCTAAGATCCCCATGATGACTTGGAATCGTAATTCTGTTCCTTCATTAATATGGCTCAAAATCTGAAAGTAAACCTACATGCCCCCCACCCACCCAATCAATGAACTGTTATGCAGCTGAAGGTTAAAATCACATTTTGAAAGACAGACAATAAATCCCATCCTTGCCATGGATACCCAAATATCAAACAAATTAACACAAAAATCACTTTTCATTTAATGATATTCACAACAGTGAAATTCTCACTAATTTACAGCATTCCTCCCTCCCCCATTCCTATACTTAAGGTGCTGGCTCCTTGCCTAGTTGCACTTCCAAATGGTGTTGAGACCTCCCCTGTGCCTCAGGAAACTGGTTAGTTATTCTAGTGAGATAGTGCGTGGGTGCACCTCTTCACTTGATGAGGAGCTATAAGTGAGAGGTCAATAGAGTTGTTTCTCTCAAAACTAGGCTGACAGGTGAGGCACCAACATTTTTCGTTATCGTTTCAGACTTTATGCATCGCAGTGATAGGTCAGAAGAATGTAGCTTTAAGTCCTGCTCCAGGCATTTGTGTACAAAATGGATACTCATGCTCCATTACAACACTAAGTGCTGCTGTATCATGTACTGATTTTTTTTAAAATGTAACATTAAATCAATCTGCCCTCTTAGGTAGACATAAATGGCAGAGTTCTCCCAGGTCCTGGTTAACGTTTATTCCTCAACCACATCACAGCTTATCCACCCATTGACACATTGCTAGTTGAAGGATTTTGCCCTGTGCAGAGGCTGAACTTCAAAAGCAAACTTATTTGCATGTAAGCACTTTGGGACATCCTGATTTCAGGCAAAAGTGCTTCAAAAACGTCTATGTTGACATCCGCAGTATTTAGCTTTTTAGTGCAAAAACAGACTGATGACCATGAAGAGTACCAGCAGTCTCTCAATACTGGCCTGTACTCCTTTCTCAAACTATTTGGAATCCCTGCTATCACCCTGGATGAAATGTTCTTCAGAGACTGTAGTCAGTCATTCAGGGGAAGGGGTTGGGAAAGAGTCCAAAACAGTTACATTTGTTTCAATTCCTCTATAATGACTTTACAATCTTATTTGCGAACAAACAGTCGACAAAGTCATTTGTGTGTTCTTGCCCGCTTCTTAGATGTCTAAATATTAATTACTGAAACTTGTACTCAATGCAACAGCCTAGCACCTTAACTGATTTTATCGACACTAAACGTGTTTCAGTTATATAAGGATCAGTTCAGGGGATTTAATTTGAAAAGGGGGAAATGACTACCCAACAAATCAGAAAAAAATCCTTCTCTTCCTTCCCATTCTGTCCTCACCTTTTCTCATACTTGAGCACTGTCAGCCAGCGCAGACACATGGGCCAAATGGCCACCTTCTGCCCTGCAATTCTTCTGTAGATAGTAAATGTTTGCTGGGGTAAAGATTCCCAGAGAAGCCCAGTATTGCATTCCAGTGACAATGTTTGCCTATCACTTTGTCCAATGGGAGGACAGGTGGGGGGGGGGGGTGTCCAAATTTTACTTTCAACTAAAGTCCACTCATTTCGCTTCCACCAATAGTCAGTCGGTGGTAACTCTAACCTATAGATGTGATGCAAAGTCTTGACATTAAAATAAATTTAGTAAATATAATTTTCTTCAGCAACTTATGAAGCATGCCATTTGGACAAGGTAACTTGCTTCAATTATAAAAGAAAAGTGTATGCGTCAACTGCTTAAACTAATCTGGAACCATTTTCATTTTTAACAGACTGCCATCACAGCATTCCACCAGGATTAAGTTCTAAACATCAATAGGAAATAAATATTGAAATAGGCACAAAAGACTCAAATAAGTCACACCATTGCAGCTTTACATATTTATTAAATAGCTTTTCTTATGCATCTTACAACTGTCAATACCACGCTTGACTTGTATAATATTAGTGCTTTGTGTATATTTTCTGTCATTAACACTACTCTCTTGGTCACGGACTTGTTTGCCATCTGTAAACTGAGGTACTTATACAAAACTAATCTAAGGCAGCAAATATACAAAATTTACCATTCATCCTCTCTCAGCTTCAAAGAAAATAAACAGGTGGGTATTCATTTAGCAAAAGACAATGTGGCTCTTCACAGGTAGTACATTTCAGTGCTCATCTACAAATGCAAAGTTATATAGAGTATTTGCATATTCATTATGTCATATTGCACAGTCAACTTACAAAAATAGGACATTAAATACTGGTTACACAACTATTTTTCTGTACATACAAAAACCTCTGCCCTACCCATTATCTTGACAGTCAGCTCTTCAAATGTGCTTTTTTTTTTATTATACAACTCTGCTGCTTCCAAATGGAGACCTTTGAAGAACACTTGGGATTCCTTCTTTGGCAGAAATGGAAGCAGAATATGTCAATGAATGAGACAGAACACAGTTCCTTAGGGAGCTAGGTACAAGTAGCAAGAAACCTCGACTATAAAGAAGTGTCATTTACTCCTATGGTGCACACAAGTAAACATTTGATGACTTATACTGTTTCAGTAGTTGGGTGAAAGATCCTGAGCCCATCTATTTCAATTCAACATGCCGTCTACTCATTAGGCTGGTTGCTGGGGGTTAATGTTCATGTGTGGAGGGTGGCCAAGAAGACCGATACGTTGCTTTTGCTTCCTTTGTTCCGTCATCTAAAAACAAAGCACACCAGACGTTCCATTAAAGCATTGCTTCTTGAGAAATTTATGTTCTCAGAAATTCTGCACATTAAAAGTAGTTTGGAGGATTTGAGTCAGATGGTTTACTTTGGCAGATCATCTGATAATGGAACGCTCATCCAACCTCCTGACATCATTTGTATCTGGCCAGCTCAAACGGATTACTTTTAGGGAGAGGTTTCTATTACTTCTCGTGTGATCCACATTACACATTAGTAGTGTGAATAAACAGGCAAACGTTATTATTGCAAGTTATAATTGTACATCTAGCAAGGCAAATTATTATAATCTACAGAGAAAACAGCACTGCTAACAGCTGCTTAATTATAATGCATTAGCAACAAACAGTTTACATTTTTGCAAGATTGAGAGACGTATTATTATAGGTTGGTATAAATTGAGCTTTTGTAGTACAGCAAATGCAGCTGTCCACATTACCCCTCAACGAGTGTCTGCTCATCAGGACACTCTTCCTCATTCTTTAAGTAGTTCATGCTCCGTGTCCAAATTAGCAGGAAGTTAAAGAGGGGAGCCATTGACCCCTCTGTGAAGCCAGGGCCAGAGATGTTGTGACTTCTTTGCATAAGAAGTTGGAGCGGGAATAGGTCATTCAACCCCTCACGTCTGTCCCACCATTCAACAAGATCATGGTTAATCTGCTCCAAGCCTCAACTCCTTTTCTGTGCCAGATCCTGGTAGCCCTCAACTCCCTAATATTTCAAAATTCTGTGTACTTCCTCTGTAAATACTTTGTGATCTAGCCTCCTCAATTCTCTGGGGTAGAGAATTCCAGACATTCACTATCCTTTGGGAGAAAAAAATCCTTTGCATCTCAGTTTTATCTTATTCTGTAATGTCCTGTAGTTTGAGATTCCCCCACCAACAGAAACATCTCAATATATGCTGCTATGTACCTCCAGCTCCACACCATGTTATCAATATATAACCTGTCAAGCGATCCCCAGAGTCTTTATTTCATATGAATGTCTTCATTAGCATTACACAAGTAGGTGTATGTGAGGTGGGAATGGTCTCGGTACAAGCAACTCAGAATGATTTAAGAAGAGAGTTCAGCAGATGCTAACAGCCTATTTGCAAGTTCGATTCTGGTTAGAAACCGATAGAAGGAATGTAGGCTTTGTACTTGAGGCTGAGATGAGTAGAGTTTTTACTGGTGATAACTAAACATAAATTCTCTCATTTGTTCAACCTTTAGACAGATGAATCAAAACAGATAGATGACCGTGGGACTTTCTGAATCCGTGTGTGTATTATTCAAGTGGAGTAGTCTTGAAATTTTTGTAATCTTGAACTGCTTGATCCAAATCAGTAATGCTTCCTAAAGCTACAGGTCTAATCAACTGTGTGGTACACAGTCGTAGAAGGTTCTCTGGACGCTGTTCACCACCCTAACCATTTGTACAAGTCAAGTTCCCGGTTTCTGGTGATTCGTCGTCAACTATGACTCTTTACCCGTTGAGCTCTTAGTCAGACTTTTGCATGTTCGGGAATGCAAAAATGGAAGAAATGTGGAAAGGGACTTGGTGGTGATGTCACTGGCCCAGGCTAATTTGCTGGGGATAAGGGTTCAAATCCCACCATTTGCAACTGCTGGATTTTAAATCCAAACACTTTACTGTCTACATGCAACTCAAAATATCAGCATATGGTCAACTTTTACCAGCCCTCTGAAATCACCAAGTCCTCAAGGCAATGGCAACCATATTGCTAGTGATGCCCAAATTTCGTGTAAGAGTAAATAAAAAGCCAAAGCTAGTTCCTGTTCTATTTGTACTCAACATGCATTTCTTGGCAAACTCCCAGCATCCAAAATGTTTGATAGAGTAGATATGTTAAAACTATTTCCTTTGATGGGGGAATCAAACATAATGGAAAAATAAAATTACAGCTCGGTCTTTCAAAGCAAATCTGGGAGCAACTTATCTACATTATGGAAAGCAGAAACAGTTTCCCCTCTCATACAAACTTTTTTTTTTGCTTGAGCATTGGTCTCAAAGGATATGGAGTAAAAGCAGGTAAATAGAAGCTGAGGTGTAGATCGACCATGACCTAATTAAATGGTGCAAGAGATAGGAGAAGTAGAATGGTCCACTCGTGTTCTGAGATGGAAACATTTAAATAGTAGCCACATAATGGGAGAGTGATGTCGTATTGCTTCCCATGTCATTTCACAAGAGATTCACCACCAATCAGAACCTGTCCCAAATACAAACTGTGCTGCTGGAGACAGAGAGAGAACATAATTTAGATTGAAAGGTCTATAAAAATCAGTCACAAACCTTTTACAATCTCAGATAACTAAATAGTTCAGTCATTTGGTGAAACTGGACTGGACTTAGAGGACAGAGGCTGTGTGTGACAATAGCATCAATATCTTGGCTCATATTTGTCCCTCAAGTGACAAAATTAGGATAGATGTTCTGATCTTCATCTCATTGCTCTTTGTGGGAACTTTGTACACAAAACTGTCCACTGTGCTTCCTATATTACAACAGTGACCACACTTCAAAAGTAATTCATTGACTATAAAGCACTTTGCGATATCTTGGGATCACGCAAAGTAGTATCTAAATATGGATTAGTTCATTTAGTTGTGAATACAAGCTTCCTCCTCTAATTTTCAGGGAGCATCATGTCTTGGGCTCTATAGGTGTTCCTGATGCTCATCTGTGCCACTTGAAGGATCGGATTCAGTTGATCAGCCAAGATCAATTTAAGCATTAGTGAACAGCCCTGACTTACAATAGGGTGTTGGGCGTATTAAGGGGGAAATAGAGTGATTTTTCTAGACACAATGATTTAAGTTGGAATTTTTACAATCTACTTACGCATGGCTTGTTATCAAAGGAAACAAACCATCTATAATGATGAATGCCCTTGTCTCGATCAGGCACGCAACGCCTGACTCTAAATATCAACAAAGCAATGTTGCCTTTTAAAGAATTTCTGGTTGCTGATAATTTAAAAAAAAAAAAAAAAACACCTTAGCATTACAATCTCCTGATCCAAAAGAATGGATGCAATCTCAGACAAGAACGTCAAATGTGGTACATCGATTATTCTAGCCACCCTTCAAAAAACCTCCAGCACATGAACCTTCGGAAAAGTAAAGCATAGAGATTGATATAGGAGGATCAAATGCTAGTTAGTGCAAAACAGTATCCTCAGGCAGGATTTTACTGCTAATTTCAGGCTCCCAGCGTCAGGGCGATTGGGGTTCAGAGCCCAAAGGATGCCAACAGTAGGGCTGGTTCAAAAGTGGCTTCTCAATTCGCTGCCTTCAAGCTCGGGGATGCTCCTGGCCCATCAAGACAGCAGCAATCCTCAATCCACAGCACTGCCTTAGCGAGAAGTGGTCATTATAGATGCTTCAAAATGGCATAAATCCAACTGGTCAAAACTGCAGGCTCCCCTGAAAGATCCTCCTCTACCCATGCCCCCTTTCCAGAGGATCTGACTCCATTATCTTCCACCGCCACTGCCCTGTCTCAAGGCTGCTCAAAGAAACTGAAAGGCTGGCAGCACAGGGGTCATTCCCACCATCAGCAAAATGCCAGTGGTCCTGCTTACCAGCCTCTGATTGAAGCCCTCAATAGGCTACCTGCTCCTTTGCAGTGTGTAGCTAATCCTCACATCATTTTACCATTTGAGGGGGGGCTTCCTGACTGACAGCTCAGCAACGTCCAGATGTGAAGCCCTGCTGTTTTGTCAGCTCTTTCCTCGACCACCACCACCACCACCACCCCTGGGTTAGTCAAGTTCAGCCCCATCTGTTAGAAAGGAACGGTCTGGTGTGAAGATGTAAAATTTAGCCAAATCTTTCTGCCATTCGCTTCTCTTTTAAAGCATCTTAAATCCTTGCCATAATATCTCATGTAGTGAATTTCAAATTGGATAACGCCCTTGTTAAGTGCTTTTGACATGTTTTACTGTGCTCATATTTCGCTATAAAGATGAGTTACCATGTTGTTGCCGTAAGGAGGTATCTTTCACAAAGCCAGATGCTAATAGGTTGCCTGGAATTGATCTTCCCCATTTGTGATATCACCAGGCTGCAAAACTGCAGGTGGACCAATCAAAAGTCAACTCAGGTGATTTAAACAGTGAGTATGGAAGATAAATGAGGGTCAAAGGAAGAATTATGCAGCAACAAGTTGATGCAACATATCCAGTGAAATGGGAGGAAGATTTTCTGAAAGGCAACTGGAGTTTCAAAACCTGTAGTTTGTAGCGAAAATGCGTGTTGTTTGACTCTGTGGTCAGAACAGTCCCATTGTGGTATAAAACGCACATCACATGTTATGCTTGTGCGGACACTTTTGCCTTTTTAAATGGTTCTTAGGGGAAAAAAAAAAATCTTATCACACTTTTGGCAACTCAAGTGTGATTAATGAGACCAAGAAGCAAGTAAGTAGTTAAATATGAAGGTTAACACAATAGGGCTCTACTCGGTGGATTTACTTTAAGACCAATTTTCAGCTACTTTACCTTTTCATAGCCAGTAAAGCATAATCAATCCAGCAGGTTGTACTGATAAGCAACAAAAGTGGCATAATGCCCAAGCTTTAACTCATTCTGGTTTAGTTGCTTTTGGTATTTTTCACACAGAAACAATATGGGTTATAAACCAATGTGAAACACGTGGACCTCATTCTTTTTCATCTTAAATCTCTCAACGTTACTCCAGTGCTCACAATCTACCCATCCTACAGGTCAGAACAGGTCGAGGAACCAAAACTTCCTCACCCAATAAAGGGATGGCAAATCAATATAGCCTGTACCTCTACCAATCTTATGAATAAGTGGACTGCTAGAATAATGAAGATTAGCTGAACAAATCCTGTCTGAATAAGATTGGAAACTTAAAGTTTAGAAATGAACATCTGGGACAGAGAAACACAATTTTTTCTGAGGATCTTGTGAATTTTGCAAAGTTTCCCGGAATCAGACAGTATCTCGTATGGACTATGTTAAAAATCCTTCTTGAACTAACAGGATTGAGCAACCTCACTAACATACAGTGCGGACACTAGAATTCGATCTCTGCAGGGTCTCAAAAGATGTTTGTGGTGAACGATTGAGAAGATAATCTTCCCTTTGAGGAATTGTCATTGAGCCAATGGCTCTGACTGAGGAAGGCTTTCAATGTTGGCAATTTCCAGACCAAAGAAGTTATGAAAAGTTTGAAAGAACATGACTATGCCAATCTGTACTCCAGCACTGAATTTCAAACATCTTTTGACTTCTCTGAAATGCCAAGGTAGAAGTGTAGAACCCAATTGCTTGTGGAAAAATTTTCAACAGAGTGTTATTTTGAAATCAGTGTGAAAATGAACCTGCCACCTCAAGTGGAAATCTATTCCCTTTAACATCTAGCTAAATGCATCCAGCTAGAATGGGCCGCCTGAAAAACCACGCTAACTTGTTTTGAAATTTCAGGACAATCCGTTGAAATTCTGAAGAGGAATATTTGGCAGTTTGATCTGAACTGATGCAAACCCCTGCCAAGTTGGATTCCTTAAGCTGTAGTCCATAGAGCTGCCAATATCTTTCTTTACATTCTGTGCATAATACAACTTTGTCTGTTCGCATCAGGTAAAAAATTAATCATAGCACTGCTTTCTGATAATCCCACATATGGTGGTTGGACAAAGTGCCATATTAAGAAAAAACAAGATGACTTGCATTTATGCAGTGCCTTTCACAATCTCAGGATGTCCCCAAAATGCTTGACAGTCACTTCCGGGGTTCAACATTGAAGGTGTCTCTTCATGAAGCAAATTGTATGGCGAAGGAAACTAAGTCAAACAATACAGCCTATGGATTGGTGCCTGGCCTGTAGCAGCGTCAACAGGAGTTTCATTCAACAAGAAGCTCATGGGTCTGGTAGAAAAGTAACATCCACTACTATTGGTGTGACAACTAAATTTTCAGATAATGCGAAGATCAACAGGAAATCATTTGTGAGGAGGATACAAAAAGAGAATGCTGACAGACATAAATAGCTTCGATGAGTAAGCAAAAATCTAGCAGTTGAAGTACAACGTCAGACAATATGCATTTTCCTCACTTTGGCAGGAAGAAGGAAAACAAAGTATTACTTAAATGGAGAATGCATCTCGGAATTCTGCAGTCAAAGTCTTCTAGTGCACCAGTTGGTAAAAGCTTTATGCTGCAAGTGTGTTGTGTTTGTCTTGAGGTATTTCCTGGGGCTGTTGATTGTTAAAGAGGCAGAGATGGTTTTAGTGGAGTGATGTGCTCTGCCTGTTGGATGTGGGAGATCAGGGAGTATTTCAATGTTCTTGGAGAATACATCCGCAGGAAATATGTTTGTTTGCAAATGCAATTGGATCATATATATCAGTTGGAGTGGCAGTTAGAGGCAATGAGGAATTTACAGGAACTAGGTGGTGTGATGGATGGTAGTTTTAGGAAGGTTGAAAATCTGCAAATACACACAGTTACCACAGGAAAGGTAGGAGAGGTAGGTAGGTAGTGCAGGACTCTCGTGTGGCTATACCCACCTCAAACAAGTATGCTGTTTTGGAAAATTTAGGGGGTGATGGCCTCTCAAGGGAAATACAGCACTGACAGCCAGTCAGTTTCTGGTAACCTGACTAGCTCTACTGTAAATTGGTGCATATCATCAGGTTCCAAGCAATCGATTGTGATAGAGGACTTTAGTCATAGCTGCAGAAACATCTGTCTGTGCCTATCAGCGAGACATCAGAATGGTGTGTTGCCTCTCTGGTGCCAGAGTCAAGGATGTCTGAGAGGGTGCAGAATATTCTGAAAGGGGAGAATGATCAGCAGAAGGTTGTTGTACACGTTGGTACCAACACATATGTACAAAATGGGATGAGGTTCTGTAGAGAGAATATAGAAAATTTGGCAGGAGGTTAAAATGTAGGTCCTCAAGGGTATTAATATCTGGATTCCTCCCAGTGCCACGTGTTGGTGAAAGGAGGAATAGGAGGATAGAGCAGATGAATGTGTGGCCAAGGAGCTGGTGTGAGGGGTAAGAAATCACATGTTTGGACCATTGGAATTTCTTCTGGGGTAGAAGTGACCTCTACAAGGACAGGTTGCTCATGAAGTGGAAGGAGACCAATATCCTGGCAGGGAGATTTGCTTGTACTACTTGGGAGGCTTTAAACGAGTAAGCGAGGGGGTCGGCGGGACCCAAAGAGAAAGTAAGAAAAGAGATAAGTCTGAGGCTGGTACAGTAGATAAGGGGAGCAAGTCAAATAGTCAAGGCAGGCAAGAGCAAGCAGAGAATAAGGCAAGACTGATAAATTAAACTGCATTCATTTCAATGCAAGAGACTGGACAGGTAAAGGCAGATGAACATGGGACTGGGATAATCATAGCTATTACAGAAACACTGCTCAGGGAGGACTGGCAGTTTAAAATATCTTGGGGGGAGTAGCATTTTCGCTTAAGGATAACATGATGGTTATGCCTAGGGAGGATATTCCTGGGAGAACGTCCACTGAAGTTATATGGGTGGAACTGAGAAATAAGATTTAAGTCAGATTTGAATTTAGATAAATGTGAGGCATTGCATTTTGGTAAGGCAAATAGGGCAGGACTTACACAGTTAATGGTACAGCCCTATGGAGTGTTGCCAAACAATGAGACCTTGGGGTGCAGGTGTGTCGTCCTTGAAAGTGAGGTCGCAGGTAGACAGGATGGTGAAGGTGACATTTGGTATGCTTGCCTTCATTGGCCAGTGCATTGAATATCAGAGTTGGGGCATCCTGTTGTCGTTGTACAGGACATGGGTTAGGCCGCTTTTAGAACACTATTTAATTTTAGTTTCCCTGCTACAGGAAAAATGTTGTTAAATGTGAAAGGGTTCAGAGAAGACTTACAAGAATGTTACTAGGACTGGAGTGTTTGAGCTATAGGGAGAGGTTGAATAGGCTGGGGCTATTAGGTCCTGGGGAGTGTTGAATGCAAAGCGTGACTCAATGGTCATTATCCTTTTGAATTGCTTTGTCGTATGACCTCAACTCACCCAGGCAGATTTGTCTGACATGGAGCTGATGTCGTGCTCTGGAACACACGGATTCTGCCTCCAGAGAAAGAAAATGTCAACCAGAATGGGTTGGGGAACCTTGGAGTGCAGGTTCATAGAATGGGCTGGGGCTTTTTCCCCTGCAGTGTCATAGGCTCAGTGGTGACCTTATAGAGGTTTATAAAATCATGAGGGGCATGAATAGGGTGAATAGCTGAGGTCTTTTTCCCAGGGTAGGGGAATCCAAAACTAAAGGGCATAGGTTTAAGGTGAGAGGGGAAAGATTTAAAAGGGACTTAAAGGGGCAACTTTTTCCACAGGGTGGTGTGTGTATGGTTCGAGCAGCCAAATGTGGTGGTTGTTGCAGGTACAATTACAACATTTCAATATAACCATCTGGATGGGGATATGCATAAGAAGGTTTAAGAGGGATATGGCCAAATGCTGGTAAATGGGACTAGATAATTTTTGGATGTCTGGTCAGCATGGACGAGTCGAAGTGTCTGTTTCTGTGCTGTATAACTCTATGACTCTCTAAGTCATTAAACAGGCCATTGGAATGCTATCCTTTATTATGAAAGGAATTCAACATAAAGGTAAAATGCAATGCTTTGGTTATACAGTGCAGTGCTGAGTCAACATCTCAAATCCTGTGAACTGTTTCCTTCTTGTTTATGTTAGGATGCAAATATATTGAAGACAGCTTACAGGATCGTTTCTAGATTGATACCTGGAATAATGAGGAAAAGTGGACAGACTTGGGCTAGTTTCTACTGGAGTTTAAAAGAGTGACGGGTGACCTGATTGAAGAATACCAGATCCTGAATGGACGTGACAAGGTGGATGTGGGGTAAGGATGTTTCCTGTTGTGTGCAAATCCAGAATGAGGAGACACTACACAAAGTGATGGGGTGCTTTTTCAGGACAGAGATGAGGTCATTGAATATTTTTAAAAGGTGGAGATAGTTAGATTCATGGTAGGCAAGGGAATCAAAAATTATGGGGACGTAGTGCGGAACATGGAATTCAAAACATAAACAGATGAGCCACGATCTTATTGAATGGCACAGCACGCTTGAGGGACTGAATGGCCTACTCCTACTATTAATTTGTTTGTTCGCATCTGAAACAAATTGACATTTTGTTAAAGGCCTAAAATGCAAAATGCTAACTGCAATGTGATTAGCTGCCACTGAAAAAAACATCCTAATCTGAGCTAACTATCAGTCAATGCAAGGAGACAGCCACCAGTGACAAATGAAACATGCCTGCTGTTCTGTGAATGGATATGAAAGTAAGTTAAATGGTTGTATAGCTTTGCCACAAGGAGGTAATGAGTGTATCAAGAGACAGTCATTGCTATTTCTCTTATCTTCTCAGCTGAATGCAAAGCGTGACTCAATGGTCATTATACTTTTGAATTGCTTTGTCGTATGACCTCAACTCACCCAGGCAGATTTGTCTGACATGGAGCTGATGTCGTGCTCCAGAGAAAGCAAATGTCGAGCAGAATGGGTTGGGGAATAATTGAAGCAGTTGTGAATGGCCTGAACACAGTAGAATTGCCAGACAGCCACTCACTGTATCTCACGATAACGGGAAGTTCAGAGCAGGGCAGCTGAAATGGTGTTGCCATGAATACTGTCTCAAGAATGTTCTCTGACAAGAGACATGTACCTTCCTTCCTGTATCAGGATCAATGAATGAGAAGTATACCTTTGACTAGATCAGATTTTTGAGATCTTCTTAATTCCTTCAGCAGGGTGGGAAATAGAACTTCAAAAAGGAACAATGTGTTTAACAAGACCTCCAAAAACAATATATGAATTGATGAAAGAACCCATGACACAATATTATATATAGAAATTAATCTGGGCCCATGAGATTTGGCATCCCATAACCATTTGCCAATCTATCAGACACAAGGTTTGATAGGAATTACATATCAAGCCTCAACTGGGTACACAGGTAGAACTGCTGGCACGGTGTCTTGCTGAAGCACTTGCTTGGCATCAGAAAGCAATTTAGGAGTCTCTGCTCAGCGGGGACTCTGGTAGAGAGTGATGGTACAAAATCATGGGTGTATTCGTACACCTCTTTGCTTCACTGGAGGGATGCGCTTTTAAAACAGGTCCCAAGGCAAATTGTACGTTATTACGAGACTGAATCTGGAACAGACTTGCACGTGGCAACCTTACTCCAGAATTATTTATGCACTCCAGTCAAACCAAGTCCAAATGCTCCATATACAGATGATCTGATTTAGCAGAGACAAGAACATATACAGTGTAGGGAAGTTTAAGATCCTGCTTCTTTCCTTACCCCCAATTTAACGTCCCCCTTCAATCCTGCAAATGAAAGTGAGGTACAAACAAAAGGCTGCAACCTTGGTTGCTCCAAATATGGGCAACAGGACTGACAGACTCAGAAATGTGCATTGATGTGAAACAAACGAATTTATTTTTAGTAAATTTATTTTACTTTCACATTTTGGAAATGATAGAGGTATTGGTCTCTAACTTTTCAAACCTCTAACTAGGTTCAAGATGCGTCATACCTGGAGCTGGGAGTCAATTCTATCAAGTCAACACCGAGTTGGGTATCTAAGGTGGAACATGCGTCATTTTAACCTACGTCTCCGATTAAGACTCTAGACATGCACCAGCACAATTCCATCATTCTGTTCTTCCAAAACTGAAAGCAATAAACAGTACGGTCTAAGATTTCACACTCACGTATGGTGATATTGCTGCTGCGAAGGACAGTATTTTCCTTCCACATCAGAACAAAAGCTCCTCCTACATTTCCGCATGAACCTGGTTTACTGGAACTGTAAACCTGCCAGGTCTCACTTGTTTCCAGCGACATTCACAGAGAGGGCGAGAAATTTTTAAAAAAAAGGCTAACCTTTCTCTGTGCCATGTTACCAATCAAGAAAAATACCCCAAACTCGATTCATCTCGTTAGTTTTGTAATCTGTCACCGTTTCCGATGATCTGACCATAGCAATCGTGGAACTCCCATCATGTTCAATCTTGAATTAGGTACACCTTAAATGACGTGACAGAACATTCCTGAAGAATCACCTTTGACTGTAGACTTGACTTGTACACACCAATATCCCACCGCTATTACTCTCAACTATTCTCTGCTCAACTCCCCCCAGCTTTCAGAGGAAGCAATCCCATCAGCTTGAGAGTTAAGGAGCCAATGTGATTAGGTATTTTACTCTCATTAATGCATAGCTTTTAAAAGCCATCAACCAGAGGCAGAATGCATTTTAGCAGCTATGACAAAAGGGCCCCTCTTGCAAAAGTGCAGCAAAGCTCAATACCAAGAGAAGAAAATCCAGCTCAACAACCAACTGCTAGGCCTATTGCAAGCAGAGCCAACCTAACTGGGGATCAGGAAGAAGAATAAAGAGTCCATGGCCCTTCTACTCACCTACCTGTGACCTTGATGCCAGTAGAATGTAAAAAAAAGGTGAGCCCACGAGGTGTTATCTTTTCTGTAGGCTGCACTTTGGGCTGTGGGTTGTTAAAGGAATTTGTAGCTGCTGCATCCATACAGACAGACAAACGGTGACTTTAATACACGAGACAGTTTAGGTAGGAGACCCTGAGTTTCAGGTTTCACGTTCAAGGCTGAAGCTTACTGTAAATGCCATTTTATTTTCAGTTCTCGCAGGTTGAGAGATGAGTCACATCCACCTTTAAGGTTGTTGTCTGAATCACCGAGACACACGAGCTGCCACACGTTTTTATTTATGAACGCCTGTCTTGCCACAGATCGTCTTACAGATTCTGCTGCCATCAGTTTCTTCAAATTAAAAAGGAGCAGAGGGGGGTGGGTGGGTGGGTGGGTAGGAATGACAGAATACACCGCTACCCAGCAGTCAGCGTCAGTTGCCGAACTTGGCTTTAGGATCTTAGCTGGACAGTCCAAAATGGGAGAGAAAAAGGGATGATGCACCAAACACAGGCCCTGCTACACTCCTGGGGCATCCCTGCAGCTATTCTCACAGTGAAGCAGGTTACTTTTTTTTTATTGCCTTGGAGAGAGAGGCTATTGCAAGGATTTAACAGAACCAACCTATAAATTAATGCAGGAATCTCAAAGAGAGAAAAAAAAAGAGGAGCAGTCAGTCATTCGGCTTTCTGAGCCTGCTCCACTATTCAATATGATCCTGGCTGATCATCTCTCTCAATTCCCTGCTCCCGCTTTCGCCCCATACCCTTGAATCGCTTCAGCCCTATTAAATATATCTAACATCTTCTTGAAAACATTCGATGTTGTGGCAGAGAATTCCACAGGCTCTCCACGGTCTGGGTGAAGAAACCTCTCCTACCCTGTATCTTTAGACTATGACCCCTGGTTCTAGACTACCCGGTCATTGGGAACATCCTGCATTTACCCTGTCTACTCCTGCCTCAATATAGTATCACAGAATCCTGACATTGTGGAAAGAGGCCATTCAGCCCAATGAGTCTGCATTGACCCTTTTGAAGAGGATCCCACCCAAACCCAGTTCCCCCACCCCATCCCTGTAACCCCATATCTATCCACGTTAACCCACTCAGCCTGTACATTCCTGAACACCACGGGCAATTTCCCATGGCCGATCCACTTAACTTCCACATCTTCATACTGTGGGAAGAAACCGGAGCACCTGGAGGAAACCCACGCAGACACAGGGAGAACGTGCAAACTCCACACAGACAGTCACCCAAAGGTGGAATTGAACCAGGGTCCCTGGCGCTGAGAGGCAGCAGTGCTAACCACTGAGCCACCATGCCACCCTTGCTAGAATTTGAGGTTTCTATGAGATTCCCCTCATTCGTCTAAACTCCAATGAATAAAGTCTTAACCGATCTATTCTCTCTTCATACTTTAGACCAGCCATCCCAGGAATCAGTCTGATAAATCTTCATTGCACTCCCTCTATAGTCAGAACATCCTTCCTCAAAGGGAGGCCAAAACTGCACACTATACTCCAGGTATAGTTTCACCAAGGCCCTAAGACATCCCTGCTCCTGTACTTGAATCCCCTCACTATGAAGGCCAACATACCCTTTGCCATCCTCACCACCTGCTACCTTATTTTCAGTAATTGTACAAGGACACCCAGGTCTTGTTATACCTCCCCCTCTTCCAATCTACTGCCATTCAGATAATTATCTGCCGTCCTGTTTTTTCCTTACTACTGAGTAGATAACCGCACGTTTATCCATATTACATTTTAGCTGCCATGCATTTGCCAACTCACTCAACTTGTCCTAAATCAGACTGAAGCACCTCTGTGTTCACCTCAGCTCACCCTCCCACCCAGATCTGTGTTATCTCCAAGTTTTCAGACCACTATATTTAGTTCCCTCATCCAAATGAATGTGAATAGTTGGGAGTCTAACCACTGATCCCCGTGGTATCCCACTAGTCACTGTCTGCCACTTGGAAAAAGACCCATTTATTCCTACGCTGTTTCCTGTCTACCAACCAGTTCTCAGTCCATGTCAACAATCCCCATGTACTTTAAATTTTACACACTGACAATGTACATGGAGCTGAAATGTAGAGTGAATTGTTCCTTGGGTCCTTTGTATCACAAGAACAGAACTGAATGTGAATTTGCACTCTTCCGGTTTATAACATACATCTTTTTCTTTGCCATCGATGAGCTGCTGCCAGTTCGATGCTACCCAAGGCCACTTTCATCCCCTTCAGGAGTTTAGTGCCTGGCACTGAATCATGGAACATCACCAGCAACCAGCATGTTAAATGTGTTCCCCTTACAGCCAGCACACTCCTTGCAAGTATGGCCTTTAGAAAAATAACTCAAAAGGGACAAAACTCTGTTCTCTCTTGTTAGCTAAGCGACTGGAATCCAATCAAGTTGGCGTCTGTGTTCAGTGACACTTGCAATCCACATATTTGCTGAAGGAGCGTTTTTAGCACATTGCAGAAGGCATTTCAGGTGGGAAGGAGCCTCGGAGGAGGTGAAAAGGAACATGTCAAGGACCAGCAGAATTTGCCACTTCTGTAGGACACTGAAAGTTGGACTTGATAAGTAGATGCAGGGGACTGGATGAATCTGTGCTTGTGCAAGGAAGATGTCGGGCAGTAGTTACAAACAAGGACTGGTCACATCCAGTCCCACATTGTGATTAAAAGGTTTATTGGAGAGAACACGGGTACCTGCTACACTGTTGAAACCCGATATCCTTCAGAGGCAATGAGTGCCAGCTGAGGGAAGACCAAGAGGACTTCACACAAGCATACCCTTGAGGAATAATAAAAATACACCAACAAGCTGTGTCAGTTGGCAGAGTCTGGTAACCAGGCAGCCTACTGCACTGCACACTCGTTACAAATTTAAAAACAGCTCCCATGCCAGTCTAAATCTCATGAAATCTGGTGTTTGTTTTGAAGCATCTTGCCCAATCCTACAGCCCTGTTCATATTCCACACTGTTTAGTATTCCTCTTTGTTTCAGAAAATGATCTTAAAATGATTCAAAATAAACGATGAACTTCTTCAAAAATGCATTAAAATTTAATAATTGTAAGCAAGTTGTGTATTAAGTATTTTTCAAAACTCTCTATCTTTTGACTATGTTATTTTTTTAAAAAGCCATTTCATGAGATCTAGGCATTTTTGGCTTGGTCAGCATTTATACCTCAAACCTAATTGCCCCTGTGAGAGCATTGGTGAGTTACTTTCCTGAACTACCGGAGTCCATCTGGTGCAAGTTTTGCTGTTCGGAAGGGAGTTCCACGATTTTGATCCAGTGATAGCGAAGGAACGGCAATAATAGTTCCATACCAAGATGGTGCATGACTTGGAGGGGAACTTGCAGATATTGGTGATCCCAATGCCTCTGCTGTCACTGTTATTCTAGATGGTGGTGGTTGAGAGTTTGGAAGCTGCTGTGAAAGGAGGCTTAGTGAGTCACTGCAGTGCATGTTCCTTATGGTTCACACTGTCGTCAGTGTGTGTATGTGTGGTGGTGGTGGAGGAAGTGAATGTTTAAGGTGGTGTGCTAATCAAGTGGGCTGCCTTGTCTTCGATGATGCCCATCTTTGGGTTGTACTATCCAGCCCTGTGGACAATATTCCATCACAATCTTAACTTGTGCCTTGTGGATAGGCATTAGGGAGACAGGGAGTGAATTACTCTCAATCTCAGACCTTTCCTTGTAGCCACTCTATTTAAATTGCTGATCCATTTTAGTCCTGGAAGATGGTCATTTGCAGGATGTGAATACAGTGATGGGAATGCCATTGAATGTCAGGGGGAGAAGGCAGTTGCTTGGCACATATCTGCATGGCATAAATTTATGAGATAACCCACACCTCTTTGCTACCATTGTTTTCAGTGGTTGGTGCAGTCTATTAATTAACTCATTCTCAACTCTCTTCCAGACTTCCAGAAGGCCAGCCCTTAACCATCTCAGTTGTAATTCAAACACTTTGCATGAGAAATTTGCCGAGGTAGAGCCGTATTTTGGGTTATGAGCGTCCTTGGTTCGGCGAAATAATGATCACAGTGCCATCTTGGCACCAGAGTTAATTGCAGGTGTATTTAATGTTTGGTCGGATTACACAGATCTGGCTGTGAAACCAGCGTGATTAAGATACCAATACAGCTGAAATTGCACTACAGCAGGGAGGACCTCTCACAGGTGCCATTAAAAGGATCATCTTCTACTGACAGACAACTTACTGGCTAATTTCTTCTGGCTATTATTACAAAAATACATATTTTTGGTGCTGTGTTGTTGCTTCGTGAGGCTGCAGGGAGTGGTGCGGCAGGTGCTAAAGTACTTATCACTGATGGAATAAGCTGCTCAAAGAGGGTGAAAAGTTGTCAAGGATAGACCATAACCAATCCCAGGTGTTGAGGGAGCAACTGTCCTATCTGAATCTGAGAGGGAACAATGACTGTCCTTCAATAATGACATCCGCACTGAATACTGCCAATGAGATTTCCAGAGCTGGGCAAGGATGGCATTGGACGTGACAAGATTATGTTGCGTGAATAAAACTTTTCCATTTGACTTCTGAAGGCCAGTCCAATGCATCATGCCTGCAATCCTAGCAAAGCCTAATGCTCATTACACTTGCTTAGCTCTGCCAAGTAAGAATTAAATTCATCTGCTTTCTTCAAAGATGACCATAGAGCTCAGTTGGTCTTTGGGTGTTTGCAGATATGAGCAACATCTCTTGGTTTGCCCTTCACTGACAAATAAGAGAAGTCACTGAGGCTACGGATTCAAAGAAAGCAGATGAATTTAATTCTTACTTGGCAGAGCTAAGCAAGTGTAATGAGCATTAGGCTTTGCTAGGATTGCAGGCATGATGCATTGGACTGGCCTTCAGAAGTCAAATGGAAAAGTTTTATTCACGCAACATAATCTTGTCACGTCCATTATTGCATTAGGAAAGGCACCTTATGGACAGCAAACAGCTTTTAAAGGTTTCAATACTTATAATTCTAAAGTACTGTGTGTTGCCATCTGTACCAATAACAATGCATAGTACTCTCAGTGCAACGTTGCTGGGCTCAGGGGACAGAAACAGCATGCCCAGTTTCAAAGTTTAATAGCAGACAGTACAGAATGAAAGTAAAATTACTTTTAGGGAAGTTTGTCTGGGTGAAAATTAAAAGGAACTGGTCTGCAGGTCTGGCCCTGTTAATGGATCACATGAAGTACAGCTTGTCTTGGTTTTGTCTGGATTTTGAAGCAGGTGAATGAAAGCACAAAGCCATTTTTAGTTCAACGAAGATTGACACTTTGATGATACTTCCTCTTTCTTCTCAAATGGATTTTGTTGAGTAAGTATGTTTTTAACAGGAAAAAAAAAGATGAGGAAAACTGAGCAGAG